TTTGAACCTCATAGGAACTCTATGTGGTACTAAGTCACTCATGTATCTTACCATGCAATGTATAAAGTGTAAAATATTGTAGTAATTCATTATATATAAATGATTATGGTGTGTTTAATCTTCTTTCATTAATTACTACATATTTTCTACACTTACAGTGTTTGCCAGCTCGCTATATAATCAACTTAAATAAGTTAAATCCATCCTGCAATGCATTTCCTTCCAATTTTTTGTGATAAACTAATAGATAATTGACTAAATAAACATCCTGCAAAGTTTCAATAAAAATTTCCAAGTTTTTCTTACAATTTCCATGGTTTTTATTCAATTTTTACCGATACCGATAATATCCCGATATTTCCGTGTTTTTGGACTTCCGATATTTCCGATACCACCGATATTTTAGACCTTGGGTACAATGAGGAAAATCATACCTAGAGCTTGGGTTGCCCTATATTTAGAGAAAGGAGCGAGACCCTTTGTAATATTTTGATGTGAGATTCTAAACACGGCATGAGGTGGCGACACATGTCCATGAATAGTGAAATCCTTTGTTTGGGATGAAAAACTTGAAAATCAGAATTTTTTGGGAATAATCAGAATAATGATATTCTTCTCTCAAGGAGACAATATATAGTGGTTTTACACCAGGAATTACAGGAAAGTAATTACATCAATTATGGGATCAAGAATCCTTTTATGGTAAGGAATCCTAATACTACAATAATTACATAATTAGAATACTACAATAATGACATAATTAGAATAATTCAACACCTCCTTCCAATTTTTTGTGATAAACTAATAGATAATTGACTAAATAAACATCCTGCAAAGTTTCAATAAAAATTTCCAAGTTTTTCTTACAATTTCCATGGTTTTTATTCAATTTTTACCGATACCGATAATATCCCGATATTTCCGTGTTTTTGGACTTCCGATATTTCCGATACCACCGATATTTTAGACCTTGGGTACAATGAGGAAAATCATACCTAGAGCTTGGGTTGCCCTATATTTAGAGAAAGGAGCGAGACCCTTTGTAATATTTTGATGTGAGATTCTAAACACGGCATGAGGTGGCGACACATGTCCATGAATAGTGAAATCCTTTGTTTGGGATGAAAAACTTGAAAATCAGAATTTTTTGGGAATAATCAGAATAATGATATTCTTCTCTCAAGGAGACAATATATAGTGGTTTTACACCAGGAATTACAGGAAAGTAATTACATCAATTATGGGATCAAGAATCCTTCTGTGGTAAGGAATCCTAATACTACAATAATGACATAATTAGAATACTACAATAATGACATAATTAGAATAATTCAACACTCTCCCTCAAGTTGGGGCATAAATATCGAACATGCTCAACTTGTAAACACACTTGTCAAATATCCAACTAGAAACTGCCTTAGTGAGTATGTCATCTAACTGATCTTCAGAGGGTACTTGAGGCACTTCCACAATCTTTTAATCTAATTTCTCCTTGATAAAAAACCTGTCCACTTCAACATGCTTTGTCTGATCATGCTATACCGGATTGTGTGCATTATCACACGCCCCTTATTATCACAATATAATTTTATAGGTTCTTTTGGTGGATAACCCAAATCAGTCAATAATAACTTTAACCATAACAATTCTTGAACTCCAAGGGCCATTCCCCTATATTCTGCTTCAGCACTTGAATGGGAAACAACATTCTATTTCTTACTTCTCCACGTGACAAGATTTCCACCAACAAATGTAAAATATCCTAATGTGGACCTTCTACCACCCACATAACCAGCCCAATTAGCATCAATGTAGCCTTCAATCTTCAAATAGTTATCATCTTTTGTGAACAAAATTCCTTTTCCAGGAGTTGCTTTCAAATAGCTGAGAATTCTCATCGTTGCATTCATATGTTTCTCTCCAAGATTATGCATGCATTGACTAACAACACTTAACGCATAGACAATATCAGGCCTTGTGTGAGCTAAGTACATCAGCCTTCCGACTAACCTCTGATAACGCCTTTTATTAGTAGGCACTTGATTAGCTTCAATCTCCAACTTCAATCCTTCTTCCATGGGTGTATCTATAGGCTGATAAGCAGACATTCCAGTTTCCCTCAATAAATCTAATGCATATTTCCTTTGGGATAAGAAGTTTCCCTCATGTGATCTAGAAACCTCAATTCCCATAAAATATTTTAAATCAACAAGATCCTTCATTTCAAATTCTTGAGATAAATACTTCTTCAAAGCTTCTCGTTCATCAGAGTCATTCCCTGTGACCACTATATCATCAACATACACAATAAGAGCAGTAATTTTGTCGTTCCGTTGGAACAAGGTGTGATTTGAGTTACTTTGCATATACTCGAAATTTCTCATAGCTTTTGTAAATCTTCCAAACCATGCTCTTGGGGATTGCTTTAAACCATATAATGATTTTCTCAATCTGCAAACCTTATGTCTATGCTCAGTGGGTATTTGGCACCCAGGTGGGATATCCATATATACTTCTTCAGTTAAGTCTCCATGAAGAAAAGCATTTTTCACATCAAACTGTTGCAAGGGCCAATTCAAATTGATAGCCAATGATAGCAATACTTGTACCATATTTATCTTTGCTAATGGAGCAAATGTCTCTATGTAATTAATTGCCATATGTCTGAGTGTATCCTTTGTAACTAACCGTGCCTTGAAGTGTTCGATTGTACCATTTACTTTATATTTCACTGTATATATCCACCTACACCCAACTGGTTTCTTTCCTGCAGGAAGATCGACAATCTCCCATGTCCCATCCTTCTGAAGTGACTTCATCTCTTCATTCATAGCATTTTTCCATTTAGAGTTAACTAAGGCTTCTTGCACACTGTTAGGAATATATACAGAAGATAATTGATTGACAAATGACTTATTTGATTCAGACAACTTATGGTTAGAGACATAATGACTCATGGGGTATTTCACTTTACTGCCAAGATCAGTCCATATATACTTCTTCAGTTAAGTCTCCATGAAGAAAAGCATTTTTCACATCAAACTGTTGCAAGGGCCAATTCAAATTGACAACCAATGATAGCAATACTTGTACCATATTTATCTTTGCTAATGGAGCAAATGTCTCTATGTAATTAATTGCCATATGTCTGAGTGTATCCTTTGTAACTAACCGTGCCTTGAAGTGTTCGATTGTACCATTTACTTTATATTTCACTGTATATATCCACCTACACCCAACTGGTTTCTTTCCTGCAGGAAGATCGACAATCTCCCATGTCCCATCCTTCTGAAGTGACTTCATCTCTTCATTCATAGCATTTTTCCATTTAGAGTTAACTAAGGCTTCTTGCACACTGTTAGGAATATATACAGAAGATAATTGATTGACAAATGACTTATTTGATTCAGACAACTTATGGTTAGAGACATAATGACTCATGGGGTATTTCACTTTACTGCCAAGATCAGGTTCATATGTGAGTTTAGGAATAGCTCTAGTAGAACGATTGGGCATTTGTCTCTTTGGTGGTGTAGGAACATCCTTAGCAACGGATTGGTTAGGTGTAGGCACTTGGTGTATTGAACAATCTATATCAACTTCAT